ATCACAAGAGGTACACATTGCGAAAGATCTTTAATAATATGATTTTTACAAATTTTATTCCACGGTATTTGTGCTTAGAGAACTCGAGCATCGGAGGTGCAGCGGATTAGAACAAAATTCGATTCCATCCAGAGGAGTTGACCATCATAAGACTTTTTAGAAGTGGACCATGTGGCATGTGTGTAAGACTGAGCCAAACGAGAATGAGCTTGACATTTACACTGAGGGACTGAAATTGGAAAGAAATTAAGAGGTGCTTATTGTTACGCTATTGGAATAGACAATGAGAAATTTAAAGTTGTAACTCTATTTTTTTAAGCAGAACTTACAATTTTCAAAACACTGCAGTGGGTACAAAAATGATAACCTATAATATTAAAATTACTAAATATTCTGATTGTCTCTCGGTTTTACAAGTCATCCCCAATTCGGAAAAGCCGAATACTTTGATTCAAACAACCAAAGAACTATACACAGGCTTTATTAAGAAAGATGAAATCAGACTTTGACTGTATTAGAGCGCACGTTGGGCACTTAGGCAATGAGAGGACGGAAGCCCTTGCTAAGGAAGCGGCTTTAGGGCCAAATACTTCAAAAGCGGAAATACCGGGTTCAAGAAGAAAGGCCATTTTAATCATGCTAAATAATTTATATAAGAACTGGAATATGCTATGGCAGGACTCTATAAAAAGAAAAGAAAAGATTTTCTGCATAATTTTAATTAAAAAAAGTACTAAACCTATCTCAGGCATAGACGTTAATAAAATTATAAGCGGCCATAGGAAGATTTCTCTGTTATTTTAATGGGTTTAGACTAAAGATAATAACAAATGCAACTTATGCAATGTGATTGGAGATGCTGGTCATTTTGTTGAAGAGTGTACTATCACTGCAGATATAGAAGGAGCAGACAAGGGCTTCAAAACATTGGATTCCAGTACTGTAGCAAATAAAATTATGGCAAGATTAGGTCGAGATAGAAAATAGGCATAATATGTAAGTTTGCATGTGGGTGTGTGTTTGTGTTAAGTATTTTTAAGTTTAGTTTCCAACGCTCTTTTTCCCCTATTACCCTATATCAGTTCATGAAATGTAAAAAACCAGAGGTTTATGTATTAGTACCTTATGCTTGTATTTTACGATTTTTCTTTCATTTATTTATTTATTTATTTTTTATTTATTTATTTTTTTTGAGGGGCGGTTGTTGTTTCTGGCTTGCTCTGGCGCAGCGACTAAGGGGCGACGGAAAGTCTTCCACGAGGGTCGGGCTGCGCCTCTCACATTAAATCCTACTCTCTCCTGTTCAACGTTGAGTGTGTCTACGTGAGCACCACCATGAACGGATAATCAGAAAACTGGATAATTCGCACCCGGATAATTGAGAGTACACTGTATATCCAAATATATTTTCTTTCATTTTATTTTCATACTCTTGAATAAATGATTAGATTGAAGACTTTCTTGCGAAATTCGAATTCGAACAAAACAACATTTTTTAGGCCATGCTGAATTTACTTTTTCCTCTTTAATTTTTGAAAGGCAACGTATCTGAGTATGTAACAACAGATCGTAAATAATAGTATGATGTTACTTTAATATTTTTCAAGAAAGTTTGTTATTAACATGCTTTGCTGAACATATGAGCATTTATCGGCTAAGCGCCATAAATACTCATTGCCGTTGTAAAATATATCGGTAATAAAAATTCTATCTCTTTCAGTATAAATTTATTCACAGAGAATGCCATTAAAGTAATACAGCTTCTAAGTGTGTATTTAGATAGATATTAACATCTTAAAGCATTTATTAAAGAGTATAAATAACTATTTAAATAAATAATAATTCTAATTATTTTAAAAATATAATGTTTGGAAAAATGTAATTTTTTAGGAGTTTGAAACCTACAATCACTCAAAAGCTCATTAACTATTTTAGATCTCTTCAGATCTCCAAATTATAAAATTTCCTACTTACTTTTCATTTGAAAAAAGTCTATAAATATTTTAAGTTAAAACAGAGCGTTTTGTGTGTTATTTTTGCCTTGTTTGAGATATGAAAACAATTTCGAAATAATTAAATTTATCTAGTATAGTAATTCTGTATTATGGCGCATGTAGAAAATAAAGCTTACACAACGGAAATTATTCTTTAGATCAGCATTAATGCAAATGGGCAAAGGAAGCTTCTATTACTCTCAGAACATAAATGTCTAAGTACTTCTGTTCCAGCGGTGAATAAATGTGAATAACGCATAATCAGCTGACGATCCGATATCAGTCACATGTGAATTTCCCATCGTTCTTTTCAGTAGAAAGATAATGTTTAAGAAAGTAAAATATTGTATTTATTTATTTACCAAATACCATTTTTATTTCAATAATGTCATTGAAAAACTGATAATACAAAATTTCTTCGTGGCCTTTAAGTTTCTAAACAATTGACCATGTCAAGGCAGCATCATAAGGAAATCTCGAATGCCGGATGCATAACATCGCTCTAATGTTTCTTTGTTTCTAACCTTTTAACGTAAAATGTCCTCGGAAGCATTATTCCAGATTGTGTTCATATGCTTTTGTGGGGAAACAATGTTGTAAAGTTCAAACAAACTTAAATCAGATATGAAGGCATTTTTTAATCAAAACATTCGCTGTTACTTGATATTCTTAGCTAAAGTATTAGCTGATAGCATAGCAAATCAAAAGAGAAATGAAGTTCCGATGCGCGCAGTCCGCTTTTTGAAGGGTAGGTGATCATTGCTAATCATAATGCACTTAGTCGATAAGTGTCTGCACTTATTTTGATTGTTATATACTGATATACTGATTCAGTATTATAGATGACAGAGGTGTGTTATTTTGTTATTAAAAGAACTATTTCGGTAAAGGGGAAAATGAAAATATTTTAATATTAAAATATAACCTATCTATTTATCTGTCTATCTATCTATTTATCCACCTATCTATCTAGAGATATATCTGTATATATATATATACAAAGTATAAACTTGTGCTTCGACAACGCATATACTACCTTTTTTCTTTATGTGACTGAAGAACTCTTTTCACCATGATAGTGTAATGATGTTTAAATTTATCCCTCATTATTAAAAGTGTAATTTATTATTTTATTCAAGGACATTTCATGTTAATAATATGTTGAAGTAAAAAATATTTCATTAAAATATAGATAAACTGTTCATTTATTCGCAATAAAAATTATTCTAAAATTCTATATGTATAAGATCTTGTCTTTTTAGCTATCATGCAAAGTGTCTAGATCCCAGAGTTTCATTTGGCTACTTTTCGCACAGTCGTGAAAAGTAACACAACAGAGGAAATGTGTAAAAAGCCCTGTTTATTTATCACAACTCTAACAGCAAGACACGGACTTCGTGCTGACAAAGACACCGACTACTTGCGGTGAGAACTTAAAGGTAATTTTAACAATAAATTCGAAAAGTAAAAAGTAGTGCTGGACTTCACAATTTAATTTAACGTAACAGGCTGACTCAGTATCTTACACTTGCGGTAGCCTAACTAAACGGCTAGAATGCTTAACCGCTACTAAGATTAACAACTAGAGGATAAAATAGCAAACATGCGCTACACTAGCTAAATCACGCTTTACCATAAGATACCAAAATTAAAACAACTGGTTAGTGAACTAATGGGAATCATACAATTGTTACTTTTAAAAAACTGCTACTTTTATTTAAGGTTCCCATTTAACATTATAATATTTCAATCTTTGGTCGTTTTTCTTACTACATTCTTTTTAAAAACATTCCATAAATTTTAAATTCGCTTTCTAAAAACCTTATTAAAATAAAATTTTCATGCTTCTTGTATCTATTAATTCAATTACCAATATTTGATTGTATTTTTAAATTGGTTAAGCCTGTATTTATTTCTCTGAAAAGAGGAGATTTCTCATTCTCCGAGATTTACTGACTTCTCAGCCCATTTCTGAGTTTATAATTCAAATACCTTTACAATTTTTCCGCTGAACTGAATTCATTTTCATATTTATTTGATTTCTTTTTTGACCACGCCTTCTGAGTTAGTGTTTATATTGCCTGCTGCCAGTATCCATCACTTTAATTTTGAAAATTTTTTATCACATCCCTGCAAAGTCGAGTTAATAAAATTACTTATAAATATGAAATTATTCGGCAACTGAAGAAACTTTAAAGCTGTAACTGTAATCCTACACAAGATTTTGGAAAAGTAAACGTAACATAAAAAAGTATGTCATTCAACAACTATTTTTATTGTTATTGGAGCATTATCAGTGGACATGCTATGCTGCTAAATATCTCGTAGAACATTCTACTAAAACTCAATCCAGTTTCTTGAAATACGATGAAAAGTTCGAGATAGGAAAAAATTAATAAAAGCAAAACAGATTATTTTTAATTACTTCGGGACTTCTAGTAATGATGAAAAAAAAAAAAAAAAAGAAGTATTAATTTCTGTATCAGCTTCTTAGGATTTTTATTTTTTCCTGTTTCTTCGCTGACGGGGTTACAAAGAAAATATGAAAAGACAAGAATTTCACCTTTATGTCCAACATCATCACTACCAGTCTGCTACCGTAATTCATAACATTAACCTAAACAGATGCTGAAAACGAAACTACGAGATGAACTCATTGAGAATTAATACAATTAATTACGTACATGGCCTTCATTCACAAAGCTAAGAAACCTGCTTGTCTCTCTAGAACAAAAATTTGTCCGTGATTTTTTTTTTACATAAGAAATAGTTTGCATACATTTTTGGAGTAATTTGCTTTGCGTCTTGATAGATTTATATCTCTACTTGTTCTGCGTAAATAGCTACTTAAATTTCTCTTGATTAAGAGCAAATAAAGCTTGAAAGTAGCAACACCACGGTACATGCCATGATTTTTATGCTGACACGTGGGAAAAACCGGTTAGAACCAGAATGTTCAAAATACTAGTCTGTGTTAGAATGCTTATTGCGCAAGTAAAGCCGGCGAACCGGGCAGTGCTATTGGATGCTATTTCGATGCTGTTCCGTAAAGGATTATTCACACGGATGCTGGTTAAGACTTCACGGTCAGTGCTCATGATTGTTGTGTAATTGTTGTCAGCTGGTTTCACCTTCTTCCTTGTATAACGGGTCTTAAATGGGGAGATTTGCAGTATCTTCCAACATATTTTCTGTGAGATTTTGTGTGGTACGTTTCGACTAACATCTCACAGGCCTTTTCCGATTTAAGTAGATTGATTTTATTTGTAAGTACACTGTTTTATATGCACATATTAAGCATGTTTGTTTGAGATATTGTTAAATGGCTATTTAGCAAAAAATTTTTTGTTTATGTTAAGACTGGAATTTTATCGAATAGGAATATAATTTTCTTATGTTTTGTAAAACAAAATGACATACTTTAAATGAGGATGTGTTTAAAAAACAGGTAAATGCATTCTATCTTCATACATTGCATATTTAGCGTGCAGTTATTTAAACAAAACAACAAATTCTTGATGTAAAATATAAAAGTTCTGTGAATTTGATATATCAGAAAATTTAGAAATATATCGTTAATAAAGCTAATACTGGACATTCTACACTTAATACTCATATGCCTAACGTATTTCATAAAACAATTATGACTTCTGGCTACTTCTTTGCAGAGTTAACAGTTTTTATAAAGTTCATTAGGTACTTAGTTTTAAAGAACATCTTGCTTATAGCTAACAACCATACTAAATGCTGTAACTTTCATCAAGCAAGATTTTTTGAAAATTAGTTTAATGTGTAACTGTCTTGAAGTATACCATATGCGGAAAACATCGCTCTGAACAAGAGAATTTTAGAAGTCTTTTAAGCAAAATTATTCAGAAAATTAATTAAAATTTGTTTTTAATATGTCAGTAAGACTGCTCTGTACACACACTTTTATAATTTGCGATTTTAATTTTTAATTTTCTTTTGCTGAATTCGAAAGTATTTTTAGCAGATCTAAATCCTCATAAATGGTTAGCTTGAAAGGGGTTTTAAAAGCATAATTTATATTATACATTTCTCTGCTTTTAATTAAATAATAAAATTGCGCTAGACATTCGATTGCAAAATTTTAATGAAGTTTATAACATTACAATTAGATAAATACATTAACGTATCATAATTCACTAATTATTGTGAGGCACTGATTTGAATACATACTTACACAGAATAAAGTGGCTGTAAAATATGATTTGTAATTTATTACAATCTTATTCTCTGAATCATAAAATTTAGAGTTTCCGTTAGAAATTCAATAGTAGAAATATGATGAAAGTTGGTCACATTAAAATTAGATAAATGCAATAACACATTCATTAGTTAATGCTAGAAGCTGCTTTTCATTTAACTCTTTTGTTAATTCTTAGTTTTAAATTTGCATTGTTAGGAAAATTTTAAGTTATATTTAATAATATTTGCAGATTTTTATTGCTTTATCGAATCTCTTTCGATGTTTTAATGCTGTATGTATGGCTTCCAGAAACTTTCTTTCTTCTATTTTCAGTGATACAAAACTCCAAGTTTGTATTCTGAAAGATGAGAAATGCGTCCGTCATTAAACTTTAGATGTCTTACAAACATATCAGATGCCGCAATATAGTCGTGAAAATATGTCTTGCATTACTAACATTGACTGAGAGTCTTATCATGTAGGGTTAAAAACTTAATAATTTAAAGCATTATAAATTATTTTCATGCATCTTGTTTAACAGTTTAGTACGGTTTCTTGAAAAGGAGGCGAGCCAGTTGCTAAATCAGGTGGTAACAAGTTACAGTGCATCACATTTTATTTCAGGCGCCAACTGTAGAGCATCTAGATTTTACTTAACATTAAAAACACTAAAAAATAAGCAATGCCCTAGCAGGAATTCAAATTCCGAATCTCCTAATTACCAGCCAGACGTGCTTCCAATAACACCACGAAGGCACACTGCAAGGAAGAGAAATTCCTTACATAATGATAGTTTCCTTGATGGCGTAAATTAACAGAAATGGTATCATGTTATACTGTGTACGAATAAGTATTCGTGTATAAATAAGAGTATTGATTAAATATTCAATATTATAACCCAGCAAAAGTAGAAATCAGACGAACTTGGTAAAAATTTCTAAACTTGTCTGCAGCAAAATATTTATTCCAGATTGCAAAATATTTCGATTTAGAAATTCTTTACTCCTTCAGAAAAGATTTGAGAGGTCAAGTAAGCCTTGTTATTTATAAAATGTAATACAGTTATTAATAACAAAGATGTGTCTTTCAGGAGGAAATTCAATACTCAATCTCTCACCTCGAAAATACTCTTTCTGCAAAATTAAAGAATAAATCTATTTTTTTCTTAGTGTGTTAAATACATTAGTGCGCTAAATGCTTTTTATATTTTCATTTCTTTCAGTATAGTGAATGAAAAGCGAAATAGGAGTGCAAAAAGGAAAGTATAAATCATTTAATCCTGAAATGAAAATAAACGCATTACCGCATCAAAGGCAAAAAACCAATAACAGCTGATATTCATGCTGATTTCAGGCAAAAGCATTAAGCCTAGACGTGAATTCAGAAATAAGCTGTCATATTCAAGGACAAAATCTGTTTCTTCGAGAATAATTGCACGTGACAGAAAAGTTCATTAAACGTAAACTGGTCTGTCTTTCATAAAGCTGTTATAGTTTTTAAATTTTTATAACGTGGACAAAATTAACAACTACGTCATGTACAGTTTGTAACGAAAATCTCAATGTATGAAGTTATTAGAAGGAAGGTACGTGATTCAGAACTTAACATTTTCACATAAACTGCAACCTGCGAAAGCTTTAACGTACTGTTTATTTAATTCAAGTATCAGAATGACCGAATAGCGCGTAAGAGCAATTCGATCATTTTAAACTATCATACAGTAATATCATTGAAAATACAGTGATACCGCAGTATATGTCCGCTTTGAAGTAAGTGACATTTCTATACGTCTTGTTTGGACGCGAATTCCTTTTTCTTTTTTGGCATACAGCATTATTTGGAATACGACTCGAGTTCTGTGAGTCACAACTCAGAGCACTACCCTCGTTTTGAGGTAATGCTGCGACTGCTGCCTTACTTGAGCCTTACTGTTGCTCTCAGTAAACACAGTATATTACGGTGTATAACGCGCACTTTACAAAAAATATGATCGAAATTGACAGGTGCGCGTTATACGCCGGATGTAAAAATGGTACATTTAAAAATAAGGAAAATAATAGTATATAGATATTAGATTTCTACAAGCACCTAAATGCTGTTTGTTTAAAAGAAATGATACAACTTAGCTTACAAATTTTCATTATCGAATAATTTTTAATTATCGGATAATTTCTTTTATGTAAAGCATATTAATTATTGTGCTTTCATTCATTCAGAGAAAACATCTGACTCCTAATTCTTCGAAGTCATTCGCGTCGGAAGTACATTTTTACCCAATATTATGTCTGTCTTTTCTCGAAACCCTAGAATAACATTCTTGTGCACACTTGTATTGAATACCACCCACCACCTTTCAGAATTATTTACTACCTCAAGCATTTTCCTCACACACATAGTGTTCCGCTTATTGCTTCCAATTCAGTATACCATTGTTGCGAAGTCTGGAACAAATCTTCGAATGAATGACTTTAAAAGATAAGAGCATCACACATGTATCTCTCGGGTTTCTTATTAAAGAAAAGGGTGCGCGTTATGTGGCGAATATACCTAAAAATTTAAAAAATGTACTTTGAAGTTATAGGTTCGTGTTATACGGTAACGTGCGTTAACAATGAAAGTTAATGAGAAGAGTCAAGCAACGAAGAAAATGGTTGAAACCTCCATGGAGGTGAAAAACGAAATTGTTGAGAAGTATAAAGATGGCATGCGTATTCGTGTTTGGAACTTGGATTAAAAATATTGCATATAGTCCGCCGAGAACAACGGTATCTACTATTGTGAAAAACAAAGACACCATTAAACCTGTTAGCGTTTCTCGACCAGGTCCAAGTAATGATTTGGCAGAAGATAAGAGAGAAAAAAAGAGATAAATACGGTAAATTTTCATTTATGTGCAGTATATGATTTATCCATTGGTTTTGTATTTTAGTACTTAAAAGTGTTACAATAATAGCAATAGGAAAATTTTTTATAAGAGCAGAATAATTATTTACCTATTTAATGTTAAATTTTAAAAATCAATGTCGACAAAGTATGGCAAGAATAATTAGGAAACACCTGTTGTTTCAAATTTAGTAATGATCTTTTTTCATCATTTAAGGCAAACCAAGCAGATTGAGTCCGAATTTCAAAAGCAGGATTTAAAAACCTTATAAGTTACTTCTCCCGCCTTCTTAGCGTGCCTTCGTGGTGTGGTGGTCTGAACGCTGGGCACGTATTCCAGAGGTCCGTGGTTCAATTCCTGGCGAAGGCGTTGCTCATTCTTCAATCCTCTCTTGCTTCCAAGTAACCTAATGTCTCTACAAACTCAGATAGGAAAGTGAGATCACAAGAACTGCTAAATGTTTGCAAAATTAAATTGGAATGTTTCCTACTCAAAGTAGTACTCCTATTGATTTATTTACCGTCTTCCGTTTCTTATAGGCCCTAGTGTATTTCATGTACGGGTAATCTAATGCATTAACTGCCTTTTAATTGATAATGTTTAGGCTCGTAATAAATTATTTTTTGCTCTTTCATTTTAGAGATAAAATGCATTTTATTTAGTTTATAAAATGATTTAATTCTTTTTTCCTTACTTTTTAAAAGAAAATTTTCGCAAAGGACTTTCTTCAGCATCGTGAACTGAGTTCGAGATATACTTAAATTAATAGGATATAAAAACTACTGAGTCGCATAAAAAGTAAGAAATATTCTTGCTGTTCACGGTTTATCAGAATGAAAGATGGTAATTATTTCGACGAAGTTTGGCAGACCTGATATTAATTTGTAGAGGCATTAGTCATTTTTGGAACCAGAAACATAAAAAAATTGCTATACTGTAGTCGGGATTTGAATACGTATCATTTAATTCCTAGTTGGACATGCTACCACTTATGCCGCGAGCATGGATTATTTAAAGAAAACTGCTACTTAAAAATCCGTGCTAGCATTATATAGAAGAGCCAGCAAACTATAAATCTAAGATATTTGAAATTAGACCAGAAAAACACTTCTATTATTGTGGTTTCGAAATTTTATTATCATTAGAGTAAATAAAACCTGTATAGGTGGGGG